ATGATACAATCAGCTCCACTAGCATTTCAAATTGTTTTGTAGTCATCCTAAAATCATAAACTTTCTCTACCAAAGCTATGAATAAATACTCAAAATCCCATATTCAGGTCTTCTAGCTTTAATTTTATGCACCCAAAAACAAGTTTAACGGCCACCCTACGTCATGTCAGCCCGTCATAAAAGGAAGCCTATCTACTACTGCCTGTTTGATTCTGACAATTTGACTTCGTCAACGGAGAATGGTTGATTCAAAATTATTAGAGTTGCATTGAAAAAAAACAAAAAACAATTCGCTTGGTGTAGACGCAGCCGTACTCCTGTCAAAATAAAGCATTTTCTTGTTTTAGATTATACAGTCATGCCATTCCTTACCCCGAACTTGTTTTTTCTTCGCCTACTATACAATTCATTTCTTTACATTTTTGACACAAAATCAGAAATCCAAAACTAAGGTGAAAACATTGGAACCACATAGCAATTTAGAAATAGCATTTAACAATCATATATTACACATTTCTTCATGTAAAAACAACACAACGTTTGCAGAATCACATTTACATAAAACAATTTATTATCCTTTTTCATAATAAATCAAGTAATTTACAAATAAACCGTGGCTCTTAATTTAAAACTATAAGGAAACGTTAACTTCTATATATGCCAGCCAGCTTACTTCTGGCTTGAAACCATTTTTCAAGTAACAATATACGGGCCTAAATATATTTGATCTCGACACGATAACTTCCCCCTTTATGGCGTTGTTGCTGAGCTGGAGTTACTTCTCTCAAAGCACCGCAAAATTATTGTTTGAAGAAGCTGCAAAAGGTAATTTTTTGTGACGATTTTGATGTACAAGGAAGCCAGGTCGTGATTTAACGACTGATATGATAATTGTGGGATTTATGTACATTGTAAGACTAAATTTTAGGGATTTTGAAGTGGATGCCGAATAAGATACCCATCGGCGTGTTAACAAAATGTCGAATGAATTCATCTTTTGATTTTTAAACTCGGTAAATTATTTGAGCTGATGATTTGTCAAGTGTTTTTCTTGCTGATTTCAGGGTTAAACAACTAGATGTATGTGTTCTTGTCATCTTTGAGTTCGTGTTTTAGTGGTTTAGTTACAGTTGTTTGGGAACGATCACCTATTGACCTGTAAATGTTGTAGCCGAGGTTACCTGTACGGCAGCCGTATCCTATTTCTCGCGGTTATGCTTATATATATTATATATATATATATATAATTATATATATATATATATATATATATATATATATATATCATTTCCGGTTAGAAGTGCAAACCTAGCCAGACTTAACTTGACCTGGACCTACCCTGACCTAACCTAACCTTACTTAACCTTACCTAACCTTACCTTCTCTTACCTAACCTTACCTTCTCTTACCTAACCTTACCTCTCTTACCTAACCTTACCTTCTCTTACCTAACTTACCTTCTCTACCTAACCTTACCTTCTCTTACCTAACCTTACCTTCTCTTACCTAACCTTTACCTTACCTATCTTACCTAACCTTACCTTATCTTACCTAAACCTTACCTTATCTTACCTAACCTTACCATTATCTTACCTAACCTTACCTTATCTTACCTAACCTTACCTTATCTTACCTAACCTTATCCTTATCTTACCTAACCTTACCTTATCTTTAACCTAACCTTACCTTATCTTACCTAACCTACCTTACTACCTTACCTAACCTTACCTTATCTTACCTAACCTTACCGTTATCTTACCTAACCNCATATATATATATATATTATATATAGTTGTTGTGTGTGTGTGTGTATATATATATATATATGTATATATAAACATTATATATATAATATATATAATATATATATATATATATATATATATATATGCACACACACACACACATGCATATAGATAGATAGATAGATAAATGTGCACATATTCACCAGCACATACTATAGTCCTATGGAATGCGATTTGCCGTCAAGCAGATGGAAACCCAATCTTAGACCCCCCGCCCCCCCACTCCTCGCCCATACCCCCTTTCCTCCATCTACCTCCCCTCTCCTTACCCCTTTGCCTCCCCTCCCTTCCCCCCCTCTCCTCTTCTCCCCCTTCTCTCGGGTCCTCTTTGTCTCCGTCGAACAAAAATATGGCGCTGAGCATATTAGGATCGAAGCACAAACAAATGCATAAATAAAGAGAGGCTCGGTCGGGCAGCGGGAGAAGCGAGGATCGAGTTTCCGCGCGTTGTGGTGTTCGATTCCGTTGGCAAAGGGAGTTGGATCGCCTTTGTGCGGGATGGGATTCCCCTTTCGATTGTCGATGGTTCGGTGCTTATTGAATGAAGGCGATATAGGGATAACCGGTGATGAAGAGAAATAATAACATAGAAAAAAAAGATGATACCTTCAATTTAAATTAACTTGAAGGCGCATACTATCTATCGTACGTACATATAGACACGGGGATATATTAATAAACTCAGTGATGAAAATCTGATGATGATATTAACGCAATTACCAATACGATAAACAGCAATCGCAATAATTCAAGCATATGACCATATCCTTAGCAATGATTTATAAACCTATTCACATTTTTTTCTCTCTCTCGCTCGTTCACGGACCCCGTATTGCCACCCTTATTGTATCCACCCCTTAATATTACGCCCACCCTCACCCTGCGACCCCGGGTGGCTCGAAAACTTATGTCCTATTGTCAGGCGGCCTTCCCCCCCCCCCCCCTGCTCCCCGTGGGTTATTTGCAGCCCCTTATATTCCCCGTAACATATCTAATACCTAATCATAACTTCTCTTTGTTTCTCTCTCGCTTGCTCTCTTTCTCTCTTCGTTTTGTACTTTTTGGTTGTTCGTCTTTCTGTCTCTTTTTTTCAGTCCGTTTCTCTGGCTCTTGTTCTCTCTGTTTGTAGGTTTGTCTGTCTGTCTGTCAGCCTTTCTCTCTCTCTCTCTGCCTCTGTGTTTATCTGTCTATATATCTATCTGTCTATCTCCCTTCTTCCCTCCGCCCCCCCTTCCCCCCCCCTCTTCTCTCTCTCTGGTTTGGTTTCTGTCTGTTTCACTCTCTTTTCTCTGTATGTCTACATATATACTTGCACACATACGTATATATATGCATATATATATATATATATATATAACATACACACACACATATATACACATATACAAATATATAAACATGTAAGGGTGCGTGTGTGTGTCTGTTGCTGCAACCCTTTTTTCCTGATTCCGCAACTCATCCCGCAAAAAGCAGCTCCCGCCACCGAGATAGCGTATCGAGCCATCCCGCCGCCGCTGATGAGAATTCCCAAAAGGCAGAAAGCGGTTCGCTCGGGCGCCGGGTTCGCTGAGTCCTGAGGGCTGAGCTGCCGTCTGCCCGGCGTGTAATTACAGACACCTCTTATCTCCCTTCCATTCAGGAGTAATTATCCTCTTGATGATGCGATTAACTGATAAGGGCTTTTAATGAAGAGATAAATCAATTGATGGGTATATGCACACATCCTTTTACGCAAACACGCACGCATGAACACGCACATGAGAGCGTACAACTACACGCACACGTACAGACACATACTCGCACGCATGCACACACACACACACGCATATACATATGTGCGTGTGTTTGTGTATTTGTGCGCAAAGAATGGGAGAGAGTAGAAGAGATATATGCAAGGAGAGTAGATGGATACACAAATATTGATCCAGTTTTGTATATCTAGATAAAGAGAGAGACAAAGAGATACACATATCGGCATTACAGATATAAAAAGATGGATAGAGATAGACAGACATAGATTTATAGACATATAGCAATATGTAGATAGTTTTTTAGGCATATCATCAGACATATTGTATATATATGAATGTATGCATGTATGTATGTATATATGTACACACACATACATATACATATAATATAATATATATATATATATATATATATATATATATATGCATTTATGTATAGATAAGTCGATAAATATAGATAGATGCCCATATAGGTAGATATAGATTAATAGGTGGGATAATATAGAAGGGGGAGGGGGGAGGAGGGAGGGAGAGAGGGAGGAGGGAGGGGAGGGAGGGAGGGAGGGAAGAGAGAGAGAGAGAGAGAGGAGAGAGAGATAAATAGATAGATGAGAGAGAGATAGGGAGAGGGGAGGGAGAGAGGAGAGAGAATGCAAATAAAGAGAAAGACCGAGGACGAGAAAACGAGAACGAAATGTGAAAAAGAGAGAGAGAAAAAAAAATAAAGAATTTACAAGTACATTTATAACCTATCGATCACGTGTTAGAAATCCCCTGCTCCATAATCCACATTAACAAAGACCTTTCCTCAACCACCACAGAATACAAAGGCAGTCCCCACCACCGCATGATGTTGGCGTGAGTTCTCTTCGTGGGCGTGAGAGGTGATGCGACGTCTTAACAAATCTTCGGTTCCCTTAACTCAGAACCATACAAGGGGATTCTCCGGTTCGAGATTCTAACACATGTGGAGTGAAGGGTTATGAGTGTGAGAACTGTCGGGGGAGGGAGGAGGGGGGATGGGTTGGTGTGTGTGTGTGTGTGTGTGTGTGTTTGTGTGTGTGTGTGTGTGTGTGTGTGTGTGTGTGTGTGTGTGTGTGTGTGTGTGTGTGTGTGTGTGTGTGTGTGTGTGTGTGCGTTTCTGCGTCTTTACGAGTGTTTATTATTCAGTTTGTTAATTTGTATGTGTTTTCAGTCAGGATGCTCCATTCTTATACCTTGATGCTATCTGTTTATAATCACCCTGTTTGATTATGTTAATTATCAACTCATCCTTAAAAATAAGACACTGTTGCAGCCTTATCTTATCGGCGAGTTCCCAAGGCAATGGAGGACCGACATAACTTTGGCTTCTCAGTATGATTGGGCAGTGTTATTGCTGATAGTGTCTACTCAAGATACTGCCGTTGCTATACCTTAGACCAATATCCTGATTACTCCCAAAAATGCTAAGTTACAAGAAGCTTTTGACTGTTGCATTTTTCCTTTTAATTTTCTGTGAAGCTCGAAGGGTTTTGGGCACAGACGAGATACCCAGCGTTCAGGAAAGTCGTCATGCACGTGCCCTTCCCTGCCCGATCCCTGAAGACATCCTCCCATGCACGTGCTCTGAAGACGTCGACGGGGCGATAGACATGGACTGTTCACACGTAGAGAGCGAGGAACAACTAGCCAGGGTGTTCACTGCAACCATCCCGTTCCCCAATTTCCGGAGACTCGTCATATCGCAAAACACCCACTTAAAATCTCTCCAACGAGGTGCTTTGGGCCGGACCTCGTTCAGGGAGATCTACGTCATGGGGAGTGTCCTGCAGGAAGTCCAAGAAGGGGCGCTGAACAACAGCCACGCCACTCTCACCGACATTCGGATCTACTCGAACAACCTGGCGGACTTTCCCTTCCAGGAACTACCTCTTTTCACGTCCCTGCTTCGCCTGGACCTGAATCACAACGACCTAGCGTACTTCCCGGTCTTGCAGTCGGATGTTCTATCGTACGTTGACTTGGGATACAACCACATCAGCGACCTGCCGAGTGAGGCCTTCAGGAACGTCTCGCAGGTGGCCGAGGTTCACCTGACTGGGAACAGAATACAGGAGATTCACACAGGTATTTGACATCCTCGCTTTTGTAATGCATGTCGTAGTTATTCCCCGGTTCATAGGACTACAACATAGTATTTTTTCCATATATCGTATTTTCTCGTTGATCCATATAATATTTTTAAATAAATGAATGCTCATAAATATTATCTTTATTCATTTGTTCTTAAATCTTTTTATTATTATTATTTTGCGTAATATTAATAACAGTCAATAGGATAGCAGCGTTGAAGAGTCTTTCACAAAGATTCCTACGAAATGCAATTTAATACTTTATTGTTTCTTCTTTCTCTTTCTTATGTTTCCTCTACTTCTTCCTCCATTCCCATCTCCTTCCTTTAAACCCCAAGAATATCAGAATATCCAGTAAACTTCGTCAGAACAAGAAAAAACAAAAGGAATTTGACTCTAATTAAACATCTCCGTTATTGCTGTTTTTTTCTCTTTATCCTTGCTAAATCTTCTATTCCTCATTCTCAATGTCCTCATTTAGAATAAAGAAAAACAATGTAGAATATCTAATAACAATGAAATACATATTATTATTATCATCACCATCATCCTCCTTCTCATCATCATCACCACCATCCTCACCTCATCTCACCACCATCATCATCATCATCATCACCATCCTCTTCATCATCATCATCACCACTATCCTTCTCCTCATAATCACCATCCTCCCTCTCCTCTTCCTCATCATCATCATCATCACACCCACCACCCTTAACCACCACGCCCACCCTACCCAAACCCAGGCACCTTCGCCGGCTACGCAAAACTGGCCTTCGTTTCCCTCGGCGACAATCAGCTGTTTTTTGTTTACCCCGGGGCGATCCAGCTGACTTCGCTCCAGCACAACACGGTTCATCTGCACAACAACCTCATTTCTTCGCTGGAGGTCAATGCTATCGCAGGTCAGTGTGTGGAGGCTGTTAGGTTGCTATATTTGGTGGTGATGATGATGATGATTGTGATGATGATGATTAATGAAAATGCGGATAATAACAGTGGTGATGATAATGATGGTGGTGATAATCATAATGGAAAACAATAAAAAAGTTGATAATGGTAATGAGAATAATAAAAATGATGATAATGATAATTACAATAATGATTATAGCATTGATAGTAATGATAATAATAATAGTAATGATGATGATGATGGTGATGATGATAATAATAAATAATAATGATAATAATAGTAATAATTATAATAATACTGATAATAACAATAATGACGATAATAAGAATGATAACAATAAGGATTTAAATAATAATAGTAATGACGACAATAACAATAACTGTAAGAATAATGATGATATGTCAATTTTGATAATAACGTTAATATAGATAATGAAAATGATAATGGTGATGATAATGTTAATGATAATAGTGGTAATAATAATGATAATAATAGTGGTAATGATAATAATAATGATAACCTTAATCATAATAGTTATAATTTTCCATTATCTGTCATCATCTTTATCATTGTCACCACCATCATCATCGTTATTACTGTCATATCAACAACAATTAATAGGTCATCAACTCACTATACCCAGGTGTTGTTGAGGGTTTTGTATCTTAGAACAATATCAGTAAATGTGACATCATTAAAAGGAGGTAACCATCTCACTATACCCAGGTGTTGTTGAGACCAATATCAGTAAATGTGACATCATTAAAATGAGGTCACCATCTCACTATACCCAGGTGTTGTTGAGGGCTTCGTGTCCTTGCACAATAATAGTATAACGACCTTGGATGAGGAATCTTTACGACCACTTGTGGAGGAGCAAGTCGAAGTCGATCTCTCAGGTATAGTGTTTATCATTA